AAGGGCTTATTAATTGAATTCTAATTTACTTCATCCAAATATGTAGTGCTTGAAAAGAAAAATATATCTGTACCGAGTAGCTGCTTCAGGGAAAACTATTTTCTTTATTACTTGGGAACAATTAAAAAATATATTTGATCAGTGTTTATAAGACAATGTACTACTCATTATTGTTCCATAGGATTAAATAAAAAATAACAATAATTTTCCTAGATTTCATTTAATTTTTTTCATAGAAGCTTACTTGGGTCAATGAGATTGATGAAGAACAGAATAAAAAAAAAAAGAATTAAAAAAGAGCCATTGCCATTGGCATTGATCAGTCAGTAAGGAGTATTCATTTAGGGATTTGAATCAGAGTAGTTATTTTGTTTGTATAATAAAATAAAAAAATGCTGGGCTCCTAAACTCAGAAAGGGATAAGACGTTAATTTAATTTATTGCTGGTCCAGGTAACTAATAATTTTTGAAGGCAGATATGTAGAGTTATCTCCCTTAGTCATCAATTTTTTTTCATTGATAACAGACATACATCATGTATGTAGTTCTCGAAATTGGCAAGCATGTAACATTTTCCCCAGCATTTCCTACTGAAATAACTTATCTGACAGATTCCATAAGACTGTACTTTGCCCAGACACATCTTGTAAATTTTACTTGTAGTTGTCAAAAAATCTGCAGAATTGAACTTTTAAACATCATTTTATATATTCTCAGGTTTTTATTTATGACAATGCCTATTAAGGTAGATCAAGTGTCTTTTTCTGAACATCCATTTTGGTCATCTTACGAAAATACTTTTTTCTATTTAAAAACATTATACCAAGTATCATTCAACATGTTCAATGTACAACAGAAACATCTAAAACTTGAAATTCAAAGATTAAACTACTAAATAATTAAGGATGTACTTAGGTCAGGTTTAAGAATTTTTGTCAGATGTTCAGACTCCTTGGTTTTTTTCCTACGATACAGGGTAAAATATTTTGCCCCATAACCATGATAACACCCATTTTTCTTTTCATATACATGATATAAGACTTCAATAGCTCATTAACCAAAATTTTAGCAGATTCTAGATTTCTCTTTTTTGATTTGAAACCCAAATAATTCCAATGCAAATATAAGGTAAAAGTCTGATGTCGGACTTTTCCCGTCATTTTAAAAAAATTAAATATCTGGAAAAGGAGCTCCATAACCTATCAATATTTTTAGCTTATTTTGTTCCTTAACTAATGCTCTTCTGACTAAAGTATCAATTTTAAATTCTAGAATTTTAAAATTTCACCTAAGTATATCCTTAAGTGCCATAAAGTGTATTTAAAATTTTTAGAAAAAAATCCCTTTAAAATCAAGGGCAGATAATCATGATAATGATATTGAATTTGATAGGACAATTTATGTTTTTTAAACTTTTCCAAGAAAATTAAGTATCCCCTATATAACCCATATAAAATAACTGATTTCTTTAATTTCAATGTATTTTAACGAAAAAACGGGTCTGTGACCTACCGTTTTTATATTGAAATTTGAAAGTATATTGACCCAGAAGTTTAAGAAAAATCTCTCGTTGAACATTTAGACACCCCAGCTACCTTAAAGGAATAAGCACTTATTAGTCTGTTGATAAGAGGGGCATACATGTATAATTACATGCATGGTTGCATGTATATATCAAGTTCTTGATCTGTTAATTAGTTGATTAATTACATATATACATTTTGTATTTCAAGTGGTTGTTTTAAGTCAACAGGGGTATAATTGTCTTCTACTTTCTTCCAAATTTTTCTTTGTCAATTATTTTATGATTTATGCTTGTCTGTGGTGGTTATCCTGTTCATGATGTCCAAATCGTGACTTTTGTTTAACATGGGACTACAATTTAGATATTCTTGTTCATGTACACGTACATACATTGAATACTCAGAGTTGAATTGTGAAATAGAATTAGACTCTACATTTTTTTTATAAATTTACAAACAAAAAAAATTAAATTAAAACAAAAGTAGAAATATATATATATATAGCATGTTCAATAAACTTAATATAGGCATATGAATTTAAATGACTCACTTTGTAAAGGAGTTTAAGCTGGGACCTGACATATTAGGTACCAGGTATACATGGTATAAGCAAGGAAAAAGTTTAATATTCTGAATTTAGGCAAAATATTTTTAATTAATTTTCTCCATGATAATTGAAATCAAAAGAAACAATCAAGATAAAAAAATTTGAACCAAAAAAAAGAATTTCTTATTCTTATTCATGTTATTTTAAACAGTATATTCATGATATTTATTTATATTTTTCATTAAATTAAAAAAAGATAAAAAAATTAAATATGCTATATTTAGGCACTGGCCAAAATTATGTATTAAAATGTTTTTTTTTAACAATAAAATCAATCACCCACTAATCATTTTACTTAAAAAAAACTTGACAGATTCAGGTAATGTAGAAACATTATTTGCATAAGTAAAGTTCAGGAAGAGCATAAGGGGAGATTATTCAATCATTGAACATGTTGAAAAGAAAATTTAAATCTAACAAACTTACTTATACAAGTAAATGTTAAAATTATTTACATCTTCATGTATACAAATATTACGTGTTATTATAATTTCATTATGAAGATATAACCGTGAATGTCAGCAGATGTTTATAATGTATATCTGTATCAATATAAAAATATGAAGATGTGGTAATACCGTATGATTGCCAATGAAACAACTATCCACCAGAGTTCAAATAAAAAAGATGTAAGCAATTATAGGTCAGGATACTGCCTTCAACAATGATAAAAAAAACATACCTTATAGTCAGCTTTAAAAGGCCTGTGAAACAATTGAACGTGTTCAAAGGAGAAAACTAACGGCCAAATTAATAACAATACAATTTACGAAAAACAAATACATCACAGACATGAACCATTGACAACCACTGAATTACAGGCTCCTGACTTGTTACAGGCACATAAAGAATGGACTACTAGAACCTCAGATTCCCATAAGGCTATACTTTTTAGTATATATATATATATATATATAACATGTATAATGCTAGTCAAATGCGTTTTGTTAAAATATACTTTTTCACTCTTTTGGTCTTTTGGAAAATGTTGTTTGTGCTGTATTTAGACTGCTCTACCAAGAAATTTGTTTTGCATGCACATGTATAAAAAATGCGGTATTTATCCAACGCAATCATAGGTTTGAACGTTGTTTTCAATTTAGACTTGTTTATATTTTTTCGTTTGGGCTTGTATTATATTTGCCTTCGGGTGTATATGATCCGTTCATCCTAATTTGACTCTTTAAAAATTCAAGAGTCTATCCTAAATTAAGGTAAATTATATGGCCTTCCAAATACCGTTTCGATTCCTAACATCACTGAAGAGACATTAATTGTCGAAATCCGGATATGGTGTACAAAAACCTTTGCACCTTTTGTTTGCGGTATACCATCTTTTCCGCAAGTTTATTGTTTTCTGTTTAGTATTAAATTTATAATTTAGATCCATTTATTACATTGCCAATGGCAGTCAGCAGGGTTTAAGAACATTTGTTGTTTGACCTGTTAGTCAAATGCGTTTTGTTAAAATATACTTTATCACTTTTTTGGTCTTTTGGAAAATGTTGTTTGTGCTGTATTTAGACCCCTCTAACAAGAAATTTGTTTTGCATGCACACGTATAAAAATTGCGGTTTTTTCCAACGCAATCATAGGTTTGAACGTTGTCTTCAATTTAGACTTGTTTATATATATATATATATATAAACATAAACAAGTCTAAATATAAATATGTAAAAATACAGCCATGTTTCGTATTACACATTATTTAATGACATGACATCTGCAAATGTTTTTTTTTTATTTAATAGGAAATATTGTGTTGACATATTGAGAACAGATGTGGATATGTGATTTAGAAGCAATGACAGAATATTTAGGAACAATTTTCACCTTACTGTCCTTTCTTGCACTGTCAGCTTGTAGGGTACCAGGTAAGCTTCATCTATCTATCTAACTGACATGTATGGTACCATGTAAAGTTAAGCTACTGCACTTACTTGTGGGGTACCAGGTAAAGTTCAGCCATTTCATTCAGCAGAAGTACAAAATGTTATTAAAGAATAAACTGTTGAAACAGAGATGTGTCTCGCCTCTTTGTAATTTGATAGTAAAATTCAAATGTTGAATTTCAAACAGCAATACTTTAACATGTAAAATATGCAAAATATTCAAAGCCATTGAACCATGACTTAAGATTCAGGGACTAATAATTTCCCTGAAAATTAGATATGCCAATGCTAATACAATTGCATTTCTCCAAGTAGTTCCCCTTAACCTGACCTAATCAAAAACTTTACTATGTTAACATGTTAAACTTGTCAAAAATTTCAAAGTTATTAGACCATGACTTAGGGGAAAGGGCCAAGTTCCTGGCCAACTTCTCTTAATCTCCATGGAAATGAGATGTGCCAATACATGTACTTATACAACTGCATACCAAATATCATAGACTTATCATAAGCGGTTCCCCTTAAACTGACCTAATCACAAACTTTAACATGTAAACTATGAAAAAATTTCAAAGTCAATAGACCATGAATGAGGGGCGGGGACCAAATAATCTCCATGGAAATAAGATATGCCAATACTTATAAAATTGCATACCAAATATCATAGACTTAGCATCAATGTTTTCCCTTAAACTGACCTAATCACAAACTTTGACATGTAAACTATGAAAAAAATTCAAAGTCAATAGAACATGACTGAGGGGTGGGGACCAAATAATCTCCATGGAAATAAGATATGCCAATACTTATAAAATTGCATACCAAATATCATAGACTTAGCATCAATGTTTTCCCTTAAACTGACCTAATCATGTAAACTATGAAAAAATTTCAAAAGTCAATAGACCATGACTGAGGGGATGGGGCCAAATATTTCACATCCCAACGGTAACTTTGTGAAGATTATATTACATACCCCAAAGGTAACATTGGGAAAATTATATTACATATCCCAAAGGTAACATTGTGAGAATTATATTACACATGTACATCACAAAGGTAACATTGTGAAAATTATATTACACATCACAAAGGTAACATTGTGAAATTTATATTACATACCGGTATCCCAAAGGTAACATTGGGAAAATTATATTACAGATCCCAAAGGTAGCATTGGGAAAATTATATTACACATCCCAAAGGTAACATTGGGAAAATTATATTATATATCTCAAAGGTAACATTGGGAAAATTATATTGTATATCCCAAAGGTAACATTGGGAAAATTATATTACACATCACAAAGGTAACATTGGGAAAATTATATTACACATCACAAAGGTAGCTTTGTGAAAATTATATTACACATCACAAAGGTAACTTTGTGAAAATTGTATTACACATCACAAAGGTATTATTTGGGAAATATGATGGTCTGACACCAAAGTTATGTTACAAAAGAGAGGCAAAAGATACCACAAGAATATTCAAACTCATAAGTTGAAAACAAACTGACAATGCCACGGCAAAACACAAAAAACATTCAAAAGACAAACAACATTACACAAAACACATCGTAGAAAACTAAAGACTGAGCAGCACGAACCCCGCCAAAAACCAGGGTGATTTCAGGTGCTCCAGAAGGGTAAGCAGATCCTACTCCACATGTGGCATCTGTCATGCACTGGCATTGTGATCTTTCAGTGCACAAAACACATGATCAATTATAGTACAGATTTCATGTACTTATAGCTTAACAAAAAAATTGGATGGCATGACAATTGTTATTAAACCACTGGAATTTTATTGAAGAAATATACAAAATACATGAAATGTTTTAGTTACAATAATTATATACAATATGTATTTATAGACATCTTATTTCACTAAATTGAATTTTTCATTGTAGTTGTGACATTAAGGACGAAAGAAAATTGTATGACCTACATTCTGGTCCACAATGTCCTACAGATTGAATGGTTTGCGGACATGCTGTTAAACTGTACTGTAGAAGTGGATACTATCAAAACATTATCAGCATATGAATACTTGTGTATACAGCCTAAAACTTTGTATTTTCCAAAATGTATTGCTAAGGTTACAGTTTATGAGAAGTTCACCTCAAATCCACCAGTCATGGTAGGTATTATAATGGTTTATATGTTGCATTTGAACTGAAATCATTAAAGACTGAATACACAAAAATGTATATACGATGGATAATAATACTTTGAATAAAAGTATCTGTGGTCCTTACATCAAAGAGACAGTAACCCAAATAATACTTAAGGATGTTCTTAGGTCAGGTTTAGGAATTTTTGTCAGATGTTCGGATTCCTTGGTTTTTTTCCTACGATACAGGGTAAAATATTTTGCCCCATAACACCCATTTTTCTTTTCACATAAGACTTCAATAGCTTATAAAAGGTCATTTACCAAAATTTAAGCAGATTCTAGATTTCTTTTCTTTCGATTTGAGACCCAAATAATACCAATGCAAATACAAGGTAAAAGTCCGAGTCAGCCTTTTCCCGCCATTTTTTAAAACTCAAATATCTCAAAAAGGAGCTCCAGAACCTATCAATATTTTTAGCTTTTTTTGTTCCTTAAGTTATGCTCTTCCAAACTATAGTATCAATTTTAACTTCTAGATTTTTTTAATTTCACCTAAGAACATCCTTAAATCCAAAAGACATCTAGTTGTCAACAATATAGGACAGAAAGGTACAGGACAAAGATCACAGATAAAAAGCAGTTCTTATAAAAGTCACAGGACAAAACGTCACAATTCAGTCTTCAGATTTTTTTTTTTTTATAAACAATGATAACTAAAAGACCTATTTTCAAAAATAGTTTTTGTTTTTATCCTGAATAATTATACATGATACAACTTTGTAAACAAATAATGTTAAATGTTTGATAATGATGAAATTAATGATAAGAAAACAAGTTGTACAAGTGTCTTGTTTAATTCATGAAAGTGCCTGCATCAAGTTACATATACATGTGTCCTTTCAGGCTTTGTTTGATTAGAAATTTATAATAATTCATTTAATAATGATTATGAACAATTTTCCAGTGTAAAAAAAAAAATTCTGAAAAAAGATACAATTTTAATAATTTTCTTTTCATATTTAAATAATAGTTAATTACTTTCATATTCAAACGAAAGTAGATTTGTTAACTGTGATTTTTTGTCCTATCAGTTTTGTGACTTTCCGTCCATGTACCATTGTCAACAAATGGTTTTCAATGAGAGACAAATATGTCTATATATACAATAAATTGAATATATTTATATGAAATATTCACTGACTATCCTTCATGCATATATGTATTCAGTAACATAAACTCATATTTATCAATAAGTAGAACAGCAGCTTTTGCATTGTGTTTTATAAAATGATGTTTGGATTTTAAATCATGAATTTAACCACAATATCCCTTAATCATGTTAATATTTATTTATGTATAAAAATGCTTCTATACTTTTATCTAAATCAACAAATGTAAGTCCTTATATTTTACCATTCTAGTCATCTTGCATATACAAAAGGATAGAAGCTTATCAATTTTGGGATCAATAGATCAAAGGTCAAGGTCACTCTTACTAAAAAAAGAGAACAATTTTGAAAAGGTGTTTCTAGATGGTAACTTGAGCATCTTGAATAGTATTTAAAATGTTAATTCAATAAATTTGTAGGTCGAGTAGTATCAGTTGACATTGTAAAATTTTGACTTGTTTGCCTTAAGAAAAGACATAGGGCGCTGATGTAAGCTTTGTTGAATTCATGAAAGAATTGTCACATTGACATATCGAAGTAAATAGTTATCCAAGTAAGAGTTGTGTTTTATTAGACTTGAATATGTTGATAAAACCCCAAAGTGAAGGGTATTCACAGGATTATAAATATTATGACATGTTATACCCTTTTTGGTATGCTTTTATTGTTGGTTGCTGTCTAATTAATGATTTTTCCACATCTAATTCATTCATATGAACATGAATATTCATAAATTCCTTTATTTACCTACATACATTTATATAAAAAGTAACAAAAGTCAGGAATTGAAAATAATTCTTAAAGTTTTTAATTTATTTAATGCTGATTAAAAAGACACTAGATGAACCTGATGAATGACATAAAGTCTTGCATCATTTTATCATAACTAACAAAATCCCATTATACCCATAACTGTCAATTAACTGTCTTCAATGTTAATTTTTCATCGCCTGATCATTCTTAACTTAACATGTCACAAGATCTCCATCCCAATAAAGGATAATTGAACAACTTAGTTACTTCCTCACTTCTCCTTTCATTCATTCATTTCCTTATCTTTCAGTAAATAATTTTAAGTTCTTAATATTTAGGTAATTTATAAGTGCTAATTAAGTAAGTAATTAAAATATTTATTGATGATTTTTTAAATTCATATTGAATTAAAAAGACATCTTCATTACATGTAGTTTGGCATCTGTTCTTTGTTCACCCCCAGAATGACATCCCACCCATAACTGTCCCTTGGTATCAATATCCAGTGAGTATGGATATATAATCCCCTGATCCTTCATAACTTTACATATCAGTACATCTCCCTCCCCTGACAAGACATGTAAGGCATGGTTGTTAAAATCATTCACTATAACATGACCTACTGATGTTGTTACTATATCTGTAGGATAAAATAGTTTACCCCCTGAATTAACCTGAGGATGTCCCTGATAGGTCCACTTAACCTGTCCCTCCCTGTCTATAACCACCACCCTCCGATCACCATTGGATATACTATCTATAACCAGTATGTCATTGTTAACATTAGATGTAATTCTATAAGGGATAGTAAATAATCTCTGTTTATGTTTATCATACTCATATGATTGTTTTTGTTTTCCATCCATCCCAAAGATTATAACTTTCCTACAACTTTTGTTTGTTGGGTTGTATGTATCACCCCTCTCCTCAACACCCAATATAATCTCATTATGTTTACTGACATGTATACAGCGTGTTAACAGTGGTGACACAGACAGGAAAGGTTTGATTTCTCCTGTCTTTGTTGTTAACAGACTGACATCAGAACTGGCAAACAAAGACAGGAGAACATCATTATTGTCTGTCAGTGACATGTCATAAACCTGAACTGAAATCTCTTTAACAGTTTTGATTGTATCATCAATGTTAATTTTACACAGAGTAGGTGTCATATAATTAGAAGTCCAAGCTGTCTTGTCATCCAGTATTACCATTCTATGCACCATGTTCTGATCCGTAGTATAACTCTTGATTAAATCTAAGTTCACTTGTGGTAATCCCTTTGGTAACTTGGTTTTTTGAAGTGATCCAAATAAGTTAGAAATGGTCTTCAAATTTTCCTCTGTGGGAACGAAATCTTTTGTTTCCTCAGGAAATGCCTTGAAAGATGAATATGGAATTTCTTTTTCGCTGAATTCTGGATAAATACTGAACACTTTAGCTGCTTGATTTGAATCTAATACTTCTTGTATATTGCTTTGCTTATTAAGTAAATTTTCTTTCACTTCTGCAATATTCTTCTCTTTTTCTGTGATAGATTTTTCTATTCTTTGCTTTTCAGTTTCCAGTTGTTCTCTAAGTGCTTTAGCATATTTTCTGACTTCATCTATGATCAACTTTTCTTGTTGATTAATTTTCTGAACAGATTCAGCGAAAAATTGTTCATATTTGGTTTTAAAATCATTTACTTTACTGTCTTCAATTTTACAAAGTGTAAGTGTGTCAGAAAATTTAGATTCTAGTTCTTTTAGTTCTCTCTTTTTTTCATTGCACGCTTTATCAATTGAAACTAGGTCATGTTTTTTGTGTGAATCAGTTATACATTCTGGACATACTAAGTTGTCACATGTTCTGCAAAACATGCAATTCAACTTCCTCTTGTGAATCTGACAGGGAATATTGTCAGTAATAATGGTATGTTCCATTTCTTGTTTCGCTTCGGAACTTTTGACATCAACAATGTCATGTGTCAGAACTTTTAAATGAATTTTCTTACACTTGTCGCACATTAGTGTATTGCATTGTACACATTTCCATTTAATGTTTGTGTCAGTTTCACACAGTTCGCATGGTTTGGGTATTTGTGCTCGTCTTATAGATTGGGAAAATGCCATCTTGATTTAAAAAGCCACTACAAAATACATAAAGATATTTTATTTTGATGTGAATCTGTAAAAATAAGTTTTTCATTAATGTTGATATTCATAGAATGCAGACATATGTAGCTAAATCATTGTTACTTATATTTTTTAAGGTTTCAGGGGACAACCATTTGATTTTCTGTGGGGATGGGGGATGGGGGGTTAGGGGTTGGGAGGAGTGTTTTGAAAACGAATAACTTGGTCTTGTAAAACCTGAAAATAAATGATTTTGTCAAGACAGAATGAAAATGAATGTTATAAAATGCAGGAAAGTTAAGGATACAAATGTGTACAAAAGTGAAAAAAAAATAATTTCCTGGCGTCATAGCCACAGGTAATAAGGCTTGTGTAGCAACAGATGCACAAAAAAAAAGATACTATTTTGGAAAAAATACTCCTCCCCACAAAATATCAAACGATCGTCCCCATATTATTCAGAGATTGATTGTATACCGGTATTCCATAAGATATTAAAATCATGTGTCAGCTCTCCAGATATAGGTACAAAAACAAAAATGTAGCAACCTCTCTATGGTTTTTATAAAAACGAAATTGAAATATCCCTTTCAGACCAATATCCTGACAAGTAGATCAAATCATCTAAATTGGAGAAAAACCTTCCGATTTCTCTCCCTTTCACCTTTACTGATAAAAAGAAAATTGAAAAGTTACTGCTAAACATTGCTTATTTACACAATAAATAAGAGATCTTTTCTACCCGTTTATTTGTGGTCATATTCTGTTGACCATGCTATATTGTCTGATTAATTGACAATTTTTATGGGAGTTATGGTACTTTGACCCTTTTTTGTGCCCCCGCATTAGTGGAGGGGGCATTAAGTTTTACCCTTGTCCGTCTGTACGTACGGCCGTCCGTATGTCCCAAAATTGGTTTCTGTTCTCTAACTTGAGTTTGCCTCAACCAAATGTTATGAAACTTATACACAATGCTTATTACTACAAAACACAGATCAAGTTTGAATTTTGGTGGCGTCACTTTAACCGTTCTAGAGTTATGTCCCTTTATAAATGGAAAAATTGCAAAATTTTAAGTTTCCGTTCTCTAACTTAAGTTTGCTTCGACCAAATGTTATGAAACTTATACACAATGCGTACTTCCACAAAATTGCAAAATTTTTATTTTCTTCTAAATGTCAAGTAATTTTTTAAATTGAAGTTATCTTCCTTTTTCCATGATTATAGTTCAATTAACTACAATCAATGCTCTATACAATGTAATGTTTAATTTTGACTTCCACTGATAAAACACAGATCAAGTTGAATTTGGGAAGTGTCATTTTAACCATTATTGAGTTATGCCCCTTTATAAATCGAAAGATTGCAAAATTTTTAGTTTCCATTCTGTAACTTAAGTTTGCCCCAACCAAACATTATGAAACCTATACCGGGTACACAATATTCATTACCACAAATCTAAGATCAAGTACAATTTTTTTGATTCTGTTTTCTAACTTTAGTTTGCCTCAACAAAATGTTATGAAACTTATACACAATGCTTATTACTACATAATACAGATTAAGTACGAAATTTGGTGGCGACACTGTTACCATTCTTGAGTTATGTCCCTTTATAAACATAAAAAAAAAAACATTTTAAGCCCCAAAATTTTCAAAAGGTTCAAAATGTTTTTGGCCACGTTTCTTGACAAAGGAGTAGTTGCATTAATGCCCTGTTTTGGCCCAAGAAAATTAAATGTTTGACAACTGTTTCAAATTTGCACATAATAATTGGAAATGCATAAAGTCAAGAAATATAAATGAAAAACATAGATTTTTTATCTGATGACATCACAATTTCATCATAATATGTACTGTTTTCATGAAAACAATGAAAAATACATAATTTATGTAGTTTTCCATCGTTATTTCCATTGTGGAAACATCGTGCACAGCCAAGAAACAAAAAAATAATTTCAGAGAAGCTTTATTATAACTATTGACATAATCTCATCAAATATGAAGTTGTTTCTTGGGTGCACACATACTTTGCCAGTCTAAAAGGTGTAATACCACCATTGATTTTCCCCTATTAGTCTTTGTTAAATTTGCACTTTTCAAAAAAATGTGCAGAATTTATCTTTGTTTCAAAATGAAGAAATACTTGGCATGAGTAAAGTTTTATCCTGTCCAGTACTATAGAAAAAAATTCACATAACATTTCATTGCATATAAGAAAATAACCATCACTGGAAGTTAACCAATCAAATTTCCCCCCTTTTTTAACCTGTGTACAAGCTTTAGTAACCATGTAACCTCAAGTTTCCAAAATATTCTATAGAAACCCCAAATAAAGAAATAATGGTGCTTTGAAATACCCAAGATATATGTTTATGACTCAGAAATGTTTTACTGCAATGAAATGTAGGATCAATTACCTACAACTGTCAAATTCAAGGGAATATTTTTTTAGACCTATTTTCATATGCAACCGGATGTGACGTACTATGATTTGGTGGTATTACACCTAAAGAAGACTTTTTTGTTGAATAAACTGAATGTGACTTTTTTCCTTTGTAATACTGGTTATTTCAAGCATTCCTGTCAAGTTTTGTCATAATCAGTTCAATAGTTTGAGAAAAATCTAGTATAATGTAAGACGACATCTACAGCGATTCGAGCAAAATTTCTTCGAAAAATTCAAACCAAGCCACATCATGATAGAATATAGTGTGGAACAATAAATGATCAAATATTTATCTCATCTGCCTACAAACAGTTGAATATGATACAAAAGATGACTTAAGGATGATAAATACTACTAATGGACCTCTTTGTCTTCCTTATAAGGTCTCTTTTGGTCCATTTATACCTCTCATTTCCTCAAAATTTCTACTTTTTAGGCCAATAAATAAAAATATTGGGGTAACTTTCACTCATTTATGATAGAAAGGTTATTATAAATGATTAATTTAAGTATTCAAGCTGAATGAACTATCCGTATAAAAGTTTACTGTCTCCAAGGAGGTTTCAATAAGTCCTTACATAAAACTTAAATTTACGCCACGTTCCAGAGAGGGACATAAAAAACTTCTCTTTTGGTGATTAATTTGTTGTTACTACTTTAAAAATAATTTCATTTACTTAAAATTATATATTTATTAAAGTATTTCTTAGGAGAAATTTTGTAGTATAGCAGAATATAAGAAATAAGGAGAAAAAGCTCCCCAAGACTCTGAGTATGGCTTGTTCTGTCAACTAATATTCATGGTAAAGTCCTATTTCAAGGAAATTTTCTCATAAAATGTATTTTGGAGACTCAATCCACTCAGAATATTTCATTATTTGTAATATTTCACTTAAATAGCAAGAAATTTTAACACATGAGAGTACTCACAAGGTCAAAGGTGCATGTACAGCTTCCCATATTAGGTGTAATACCACCATTGATTTTCCCCTATTAGTCTTTGTTAAATTTGCACTTTTCAAAAAATTGTACAGAATTTATCTTTGTTTCAAATGAAGAAATACTTGGCATGAGTAAAGTTTTATCCTGTCCAGTACTATAGAAAAAAATTCACATAACATTTCATTGCATATAAGAAAATAACCATCACTGGAAGTTAACCAATCAAATTTCCCCCCTTTTTTAACCTGTGTACAAGCTTTAGTAACCATGTAACCTCAAGTTTCCAAAATATTCTATAGAAACCCCAAATAAAGAAATAATGGTGCTTTGAAATACCCAAGATATATGTTTATGACTCAGAAATGTTTTACTGCAATAAAATGTAGGATCAATTACCTACAACTGTCAAATTCAAGGGAATATTTTTTTTAGACCTATTTTCGTATGCAACCGGATGTGACGTACTATGATTTGGTGGTATTACACCTAAAATGTACTTAAAATTTGATAAAAAACAAGGAAAATCAAGAAATTTTACAAAATATACAACTTTCGTCAATGTTTGTTGCCATGGTTACTCTTTAAATATATATGTATGAAATTTGTTTTTATTTTCTGAATACCTTTTACCTTAGTCTGTGACAAATTTACGAATATGTATGATAACTTTCAAATTAGCATTAATATTATATGCTACCAAATAAGAGTATAGGGGGAGGGTCAGCACCTACAAACATATTAAACCCCGCCACATTCTTTATGTGCCTGTCCAAAGTCAGGAACTGTAGGTCAGTGGTTGTTGTTGATTCATTTCCTGTTTATTAGTCACCTACCGACGAAGTCGATGGGGACTTTAGGTTTGCACTCCATTTATGTCTGTCTGTCTGTCTGTCCATCCGTCAGTCCGGCAAATCAGTTTTCCACACTTTTTTCTTCATGCTTGAAGATATTGATTTGATATTTGGTGTATTGTTTTATGATGACCAGTTACAGATCAAGTTCGAATTTTGTTCTGGTCTGATGATTTTGTGCAGAGTTATGGTCCTTTGACTTAGAAAATTCACTAAAATAATTAGTTGTCCACACTTTTTTTTGTCATTCTTGAAGTAATTGATTTGATAATTGGTAATTAGTTTTATCATGACAAGTTACAGTTCAAGTTCGAATTTTGTTCTGGTCATGGACTTAGAAAATTCACTCAAATAATCAGGTTTCCGCACTTTTTTTCGTCATGCTTGAAGATATTGATTTGAAAATTGGTTTATAGTTTACACCATAACAAGTTAGAATTTTGTTCCAATACAATGAATTTTTAACTGGTAGGAGACTATGTATTGCCATGCAATACTCACAGAATGCTTGGTTGTTTCGTAAATTGTTTTGTCACAAATTATGTCATTAGTTTTCTCAATTGAATTGTTTTATATTTTTCACTAAAAGGTATGAGTTAATCTCATGGTCGAAGGCTGTATGATTGCCTATAATTGCTTACATCCACTTCGGTACCTCCACTTCATTGAACTTTGGTGCATAGTTGTCTCATTGGCAATCATACCACCTCTTTTTATAAAGTATACAATAGCTACATATAATCCAGAAAAGCACTTCAGAAGCTAAAATGTATAGGTGTTAATTTCATTTGTTTATGTGAAAGTGTTGTCAGTTGAGGATTCACAGGGGGGATTATGCCCTCCCCCCTTTTTAACCAGAATTGATATTATTTATTTCATAAAATTGTCAGCAACAACAAATTTTGCATCACTATGCTCTGCAGATATATCACCGTTTAGAAAATGTAGTCCCCTTTTCCTGGGGTACTGGATATATCCCTGATTGTTATGCTAATGTATTTTCATATTTCAATAGAATCGAAATTTAAGACCTCACTTTGACAGCTTTATTTGTTTGAATTTGTATATATCTTCCTAATAGAAAAAGGTGATCTGTTAAATTACCCAAGGGGCGACCATTTGATTATGTGACACTTTTTGGACAGTAGAAAATAAATATTCTGGCTCTCAAATGAGTGAATATAAAAATTTTGCCGCTTTAAGTTGGAAATACATATTTTGACATTTTCAAATTTGACTCCCCCCGAATTACATGGTCATCTCTTAGTACAGGTGATACATGTATTCCCTATTCTTTGTTGTAATGTGACCTTGTTCCCTTTTCACCAAAATGTCTGCTGTGTGTTCAAATTTTATATTATTATTTTGTAAATACATATTCTTGCACCATGTGCACTATCAAATGAAAATAGTGTGTTTTCCCTCCATACCTTTTTTGTTGACAAAAATCTCATCAGTGCTTTGTAAATAACATTTCTTAATTTTCCTTAGACGCCTTTCAATCAGGAAGTTAAAAAGAACTTGTTTAAACTTGATACAGGTTATTAAATATAACATTTAAAACACAAGTCATACGTATGAATACAAATACACCTGTAGTTGTGGTATCTATTTATAATAGTTGTACTTCAGTAGACTGGGATTTAAATATTTGTTATTTGTTCTCAAATTGCACGAATTGGATTTTGTTTTTGCAAAACAAACATGACACATATTTTACTCTACATTTAAAGCAATTAAAAGGTTTTGTTGGTTGTCAAGAGCTAGAGTTAGGGCTAGTGTTGAAATTATCTCTTCAAAAAACACACCAAATAAAATATCTCCTACAAGTAAAAAATGTGTAAATTCACTGTTTGTCTCCATATTTACAATAAGAACCTGTATTGATCAATCATATATAGTAAAGCTAATTAAATTCATATACTGTATCAAGGTGTACATGCAATTCCTATGATATATTATACCTTTTCAGTTAGGGTACAAATTTTTTCCAGTCATATATATATATACCAACCTTTCAACCATGTTAACTGAAATGAAATTCAAACAGCTATATGTTTAATTTTAATGCTTATTCTTCATTTTTCATAAAGTATTTGGCTTATAGAAAGTAAGTCATGAAATGATCATCAGGGGCACAGCGTATTTATTTATAGATTATCATGATGTTCAAATTAATGTAGCTTGGTTAGTTTTCCTGTCTGTTTTGGTAAGGTTTACTCAAGCATCACAAGTCCAAATTTACATTTGTAAACAAAGACATAGTTTATAGAGGATACTGATATTTCAGTGAACAATTTCTACAATACAAATTAAATGTTACAAATCTTAAGGGAGCATTTATGCTATGATTTGGCTAAAACATTTATTTTGATTTTTTGGGGTTTGAAACATTCAACAAACATGACAAATAGAAGCAGAAAATTGAAATCATAATTTGCTATTCAGCAGCCAGTTTGGTTCAATTTTATTCAAATAAGGCTGAAAACATCACTGATATATGATTGTCTTGTCCAATCACTCTGTTGCATACTCTTGTCATCTATCATTGTCTATTTGCTGCTGCCTGCGGCACCTTTATCATGTTTATGTTTTGTAGCATCCAATTCAAATTTCAATGGCCACCCTGTAGATCACATGGTCACATGCCCCCTCCATTGTAGGAGATCCTGCATTTTATCCCGGGCTGTGTCAATCCATTGACTTTGAAAAATTTGTATTTGCTACCACTTAGCTAAGCATGCAGCATATAGGAGTAAGGGTAAAGACGGGTTGGCCATCAGTCAGAATAATGTATCAGGGTAGGTGACATATCTTCCTGCGGACTGTTCCCTTGTGAACTAGAACGTTAAAAAATATTTGTCTTGTACATAGCAGGGTTCATATTCATATCACATTAACATGTTCTCGTCATGAATATGCAACTTATTTAATTGGTATCAATATGGGGTTCTCGTTTGAATTGTTTCACGTTTTTTTGAAGGCTGTACGATCGATGACCTATAGTTGTTTACATGTACCTGGTATGTCATTTGGTCTCTGGTAAATTATGTCTCATTCTTTTATTAGCTCACCTGGCCAAAAGGGGCAAGTGAGGTTTTTTTATCACTTGGCGTCCGTCGTATTTTGTCATCTGTCGTTGTTAACTTTTACAAAAATAATTTCTTCTGAAACTACTGGGCCAAATTTAACCAAACTTGGCCACAGCCATCATTAGGATATTTAGTTAAAAAAAACCTGATCTATAGATAGAGAAAATCTAACAGCGGCGTAAATGCTCAGAATGATGAGATCTACCTATTGTCCATTTACATCAAACCTGTCAGATGACTTCTTATATAAAGCATTGTAAAGAGAAACTTAAAACATCAAAAATTATCATCTGATCATCGACAGAGCAGCAAACCAAGATCTACAAATAAGTCAACAAGGTCGACATCGTCAGACGACTCCTTATTCATGTTATTGGAGTTATTACCCTTTAATGACAGTTTTTATCAGTTTTGTTTGCATTTTTGTCTAATATCTGAAAAAATGTAATATATAAATAGAAACTAAAATCAGAAAAATGATCAGCAAGACAAGACCTACAAATATGTTTCATTGTTGAAATCGTCAGTCGTCCCCTTATTGGAGTTATTGCCCTTTAATGATGATATTTTGTACGATTTTGCGTTTTTGTCTAATATCTGGAAAACTATTATAGATAGATAGAAATTTAAATAAGCAAAAAGGATCAGCAAGACAAGATCTATATTTTAGTCAAATTTTGACGAAATCACAAGTATACTCTTTAAAGGTATGATTGCCCTTTAATTTTATACCCAAAAAGAGAGAGAAAGTAAACAGAATAAACAGATTTTTCGTCATCAATTCTATTCTAGTTTACAATGTTAGAAAGAGTCCATTGTTGAAAATGCACATACACCTAGTTGAGCGACATAGGCTCTTTAGGGCCTCTAGTTTTTATATTAACATTACATTTATTTAATGTCTTTCTTTAGAATATTCATGATATTGGGATTATACAAATCGTCAGTTAATTTTGACAAGATTAAAATCCCTAAACAAAGATATATAACTATGATAACGATATATTTAGATAATGTTATTTTAATCATACAGACATAATTTTTTGTATAAATTAGTGTTTCATTGTAAAAAGAAAAAGCATTGACAGAAAAACTATAAGTACACATGTACATGTAACAATGATAACATTGGATAAAAATGTCATGATAGCGTTATTCATATGTCACTGAAAATCAATTCAGACAAACTACTGTATGATAGATAATAGAAACAAACACACACAAATATGATTTATCTTCTTTTTTTTTCAACAGACACGTAATTGTGTGAACAATTTGGACCCTACATTTTGTACCCCAGGAAACAACCCATTTCTAATCAAGTTTGAAGCTCAGCAGAAATCTGGTGCCCATGTTGTGTTCAGAATAGAAGGCAAAAATGGACAATATAGTACAGGTGAGTAATTTGTTGCTGTTCACATATTCTAATGTAAATTTTTGAAAATCTGTCTGTTCGAGAACTAAAAATTTTTCATTGATCTTAAATGTCAGGGAGTTTGCAATGTTAATGAAAAGTAGTAAGATATAAATTGTAAATACATGGAAAAAGGAAAACAAAAGAAGTAATTTACTGCTATACTTTAGTATACCTATTGCTTGTTTCTCCAAATCATCAGGAAAACACAACAATCAAAAACTCTCTTTTCTATAGATATATTTTTTAAACGTTATACTGATTATATATATAATTTAATTTTGTTTCACATGATTGATTAAAAGCATTAAAGGGAAAGTCCGAGATTTTTTACTTATCATCTAAATATGTTCATCTTAACATAAAAAAACACATTCACAAAGTTTTAAATTTATATTCTTTCTAATAATGGAGAAAATCAAGTATTTGTAACTTTTTTGGTTGACCTACGTCACTGGGTTGTGACGTTTTAACCCGATTTGTTGAATCATGGGAAAAAATAAAATCTGTTAAAGTCTTAATTGCTTATCAGAATTTTACGTAATTAAAAGCGCACAGATGACCGTTGGTCGTAGTTAATAACCACAATATAAGAATGAAAGCAAATGAATATGTGTGTACCATTTTGTATTGATTGAATAAAACTTCTGATATGAAGTAATCTAGATATAAATATTTTCGAATTAATTTCATAAATTATTGAGATTTTTTCATAAAATATCTATAGAACATTTTTACTGATATTGAACTGAAAATATTTTACGTTTTATTTACCGTTATAACTTTGATAACCATTTCAATGCAAAATATTTGTGAACAGAGTGTGTATATTATTTTGTAAAGTCATTGTTTATTTCACGATTTGAGGAGAATTCGTTTGAACTTTACCTTGCAGCAATTTCGCCTCAGGCGTACGCAGGTGTAATTCAAGCGTACACAGGTGTGAATATTATCATTTTGAATGGATTAACAGAAAGAGTATAGCGTGTTTAATATACCCAGATGAAATACCCGATGACAATAGAGAAACAATAATTAAATTGTATAAATTAATTGAAAATTAACATTCAACTTTTTAATTCCGGAAGTGTAACAATATTAAAATGGAACAATTTTCGGTTACGTTCTAATGCAATTAGCATAAAGTTAAGATATGAAGTTAAAAGAATAGTACTTGTAATCTTAAAAGTTAAATGTTACATTTCCCAATTAATAATCATTGCACATCTGTTAAATTTACTTTACCGGAATTCTTTAACTTGTATTTAAATCTGGCGATGTTTAAATGCTAACAATCGTAAAACTATCGCAATTTTAAAGCTTTTAATTGAAAAAATACAACAGTACAACATGCATGATTTTTTTTAATTTTCTTATCAACATTTCATTCCTACATAATTAAATTCATTTGACAATCACTTAGACAAATTATTTGTGAAAAGAATACCAATTATCGTTTATTTCATTAATGAATATACATACATTATAAATCTAAGCTAATACATTAATTTCTTTGAGGATTTTTTTAGGATAGCCGTCATTAATCCAAATTAGTAATACAGTTGTTGTAATTAAAGGCATATCTTAGTAATGTATTACTGATATTGACGATTTTAGAACAGTTCGTCCCAACCTCGTTGTTCTTGAAACAATCTTTACTAGACTAGTATACTTGTAAGTTTCCTGATGTATAAGCGCCATTGAGGATGAGCTCCAGAGATAGCAGACTAGTAGTGTATTTGTTTTTTGGGGCAGGAGAGGCAATGCAACCACTTGTACAGATAAACAAGCTTAGGTTGTCAACACTATCAGAAAGAGTTTCCATCGTCGGATGGGGTATATGAAGGTTCCAAGAATGAACTATTGACATGTCTGACTCTGAACAGTTAGTAAACGGACTTAACAATGATCTATAGACATCGACGGCTTGTTCTTGATATTTGAAACTGCATGCATATATAAGTTTATGAGAGTGATTATTTATCTTGTGTCTGACGAAAACTAAATGCCTGCATGGTTATATCTTGCCATAGGTTTGTATTGGTTTGGTGGGTGTTCACTCAAAATCGTAATTCAAAAATTGTGTTTGTGAGATGTAGATTCACTTCAATACCGAATTTCGTCTATATATTTCACAAGTGTACATGTATACCACGGAGAAGATCTGAGGTATATTACTCCCACTATGTTTGGGTGTGAACCATCGATGTTTACAGCAATATTTAATGAATAAGATGATGATGGTAAAAAGAACTATGAGCGTCATTAGGCAAATATTACATGCATGTCGTACCATGAGTTGTCAATCTGTATGAAAAGATTTCCAATACAACCATATTGAGTAGGAATTTTTACATGCTATACTCTCGTACTAGTATTGCAGGGTTCTTGTGTCGTTTAACTCAGACACACATCTTTTACTTTAAGATGTATGAAAGGTTCTAAATATATATATATATATATATATCTTAAATGTAACAATAATCAAACGCCTATAGGCAATCACTAAAATGATATGAAGTTTTTATACAGATTTATTCTTATTTACACAATCATTAACAAACTAAATAAATTTAACAAAGTAACACCGTGACACTACGATATAACAAATGGGATACTAATTATTTTTAACCATGCTATGCAGAAACTTAACACATCAAGCAGGAACATATATATTAATATACTGTTTCCAGCATCAAGTTAGTGCACGTGAATACCAATTAGGAACACGATGTGTGATTTTGTAGAACTAAAAATATCAAAGCGAGCAATAACTTTGTCAAGCAAACATTTTTTTTTCACTATGCCTCTCTTTATCTCCGCTCCTTTACAATAACTATTTCGCTTTTCGTCGATCATTCTCTCAACATTGTTCTCTATTCGGTTATTTTTTTTCACTATGCCACTCTATCTCCTCTCCTTTTCCCCCTGTCGTCCTAATCCTTATAAAGATAGGGACATTAGACATAGAAGGGGCTCTCTTATCTTCAATGAATTAATATTGATAGTGACTATAAGTGCTGCATTACTTTATTTATCTGCATGTTTGCCAATCGATAAAAGCTTGTATTTGCGTGAAGAATTTTTTTCTTCAAAAATATGGTCCAGAATCATGACACAACAATATTCAATATCTAATATACGTCCTTGGAATACCTAACTGAATGTGTAGCTCTGACACGACATCTATCAATAATTCTGACATACCTATTATCAATTCAGGAGGAAGCCAAAATATATATATAATAAGATAACGTAAATAAAATTTAAAAAGAAAAAAAAATCTATAAATTTTTCACCGAACATACCAGATAGAGTCACTCATTTAACTGTAAAGCTAAGTGTCTTTATAAGTGACCGTTCCGAATTGATCCCGTATCAATTTGATTTAATTTAAAGATTAGTTAAAAAATCCCACTTTTAATAGAAAAATTGAGATGTCCGATATTTCGATATTTACATATCTATTACCTGGGAATATTATACTATATCAACATATTATGTCCCAGCTAAAACCTCTTCCTAACATTGCTCCTTGTCAATAGCCGTTAAATATCATAATTAAAAAAAATGTTACTTTATATCGTATAACTTTATTAATTGAAAAATTATCTTGTCTAAATACGGAACTATTCTTTATACAAATCAATGCACTTTATATAAAAGATGCATACTAATGAATCTTCTGTAAATCAGTGATTGTTACAAGAACACTGCATTTGTCTTTCTTATAATTGAAACTGTTCTTCCTCTTCAAATCTATATTTTTTGTATTCAACGAGATCTTATCATATAAGGATTTGATAACTATAGCTATCAGAACTGCTAGGTTATTTTGTTATTAAAAAAGGATAATTACAAACGAATCTCCCTCGAAACAATATTGTTCAAAATGGTCTTCACACACCAACTTGTGCTTGCTATAGATGCAACTATTTGCTGTTAGTTTAAGGTTGTACAACCATGTCTGATACAATTCTTTCTTTTTTTGTGGGATTTGGAAAACTATGTAGACTTTTGTCATAACCTTGTCTGACAGAACAACCGTACGCTTGACAAGATATTTTGACACTGAATAACCGTCTACGGTAATCCCCAATTGATGATGGGAGTTTTTAACGCACGGTCGGTAAATCCCCGATTCTTTTTGTTCTTTGTGACTTTTTAGATCGAACATACCGACAAGACGGCGATATGTGGTGAACTGATTGTGAATTTCAAAAATCGATTTTGATATCTTTACATAGAGAATAAAAGTTTTTTATTTATGAACATGTGGTTTTTTATGCTTAAAGAACAAAATATCAATTTTTCATTTTTTTGCGGAGTTTCCCTTTAATGAATTTGACTGTTTCAAATATGTCCTGTGGATTCAATATTATTCGTGGAACACATATTTTCCTGGATTTCGTGGGTAAACCTGAACCACAAAATTAAATGTTCAACAAGGTATACATTTTTATAGGCTTGAATGCAGACTGGCAGACCGCTAAATCAAATATCCACAATACTAAAAATTTCTTTTAATTTTCCTATGAATATTGTATTAGTACCCATGAAAAAAATATGAATCCAAAGTATCTGCTTTAAAGTTTTTCCCCCAAATACAGGGCTACTCTCTTAAAGGGAAAATTCGCGATATTTTACTATTAGTTTAAATATGTTCAGTATAACATAAAATACATATTCACAAAGTTTTATCGCTATATGTGCAGTAATAAAGAAGAAAATCAATAATTAATAAAAAAAATAAGGACTACTTCCTGTAGTACGTGATGTTTTCTCCTGGTATTGCATGCCGGGATTTAAAGTACAATCATTTAAAGTCTTGGTCTTTAATCATATTTTAACATAATCATAAGCGCGCAGATGACTAAATTTGATAGCTAATTACCATCTGATGGTAAGAAAATAAAATGAACAGACATGCAACTTTTTACATTATAATAAGATAATATTTTCTATATTTACCGTATACATTT